TATACTCCTTATCTCAGATAATGGTATTACTTACCACTCAGTTTTTTAAGCTACAATCCTGGGTACCATCCTTGATTATTCACCTCTTTTCTCTCAAATGCCCACTCCTATATCTAGCATTTGCTTTAAAATACTCTAGTAGAGAGGGGGAAAGTGTCTGGGAAAGGGGATAAAGAGAAAACAAGATCCACAAAATGTTGATAATGGAAGCTGGGAGATGGGTCCATGAGGGTCACTGTTCTATTTTACCTACTATTGTTTGTTTGAAATTTTCCATAATTATATATATATGTTTTCAAGATTGTCGTTCTCTCTCAACACTTCACTGGGATTACAGATTAGTGAATAAACCTCTTTTAGTCTTCCTGCCATCAGTCCCTTTCTACTCTAATTCTAATCCTACACTCAACTCTCCTGCCATTTTACATAATAATCCTGTCGTTCTTTAAGACTTCTGCAGCTATGTCCAAGACCCATGGGACAAACCTTAGCATGGTACCTGAATCTCTTGAAAATTTTGCTACAATCTCTTCCAGTTGTCGCTGTCTATGCTCCAGTCACAATGACTGACCTATGTACTGGTCCCCTCATTTCCTATCTAACCTCCATCTAGATCAATTCATCTTTTCTGAGGAGCCTTTTCTTGCTCTGCCTGGCAGTGTCACTTCCCACTTCCCTTCTTTGTACTGTTATTTTAGTACTCACCATGCTGCTGCACTGTAGTTTTCAATAAAATTTTCTATGAATGAATCCCTATTATAACACTACCACCATAAAATATATATTTTGTAATAATTTCCGGAAAATGGAAACTGCCAGAATTAAGGATCTAGAGACAACTTAACAACTAAAGAGTATCTTCTAAAGAAATATTGGTAGGGTAAAAAGTAATATCACAGTTTATCGCAGAGGTGAGCATGAAGGCCAACTAAGAAAAACAGAATGATTTATGGGCAGCATTTAAAAGGCATATTTATTTTTTAAAGCCAGGATTCAAATGTTGGAAACAGTAATTAAACACTGTATTTCCATCACTAAAGATTTTGGGGTTTTTTTTGGATAAAATTTCAGAAACTTACAAAATAGCAAACAATACTACATTAATCTCAGTAATCTGTTCTTAAATTCCCAAGGTTATGCAGGAAAATGATCACTGGTAGCCCATTTCCCATTTTTTAAGTGGAAGAAATCATAATGGATTATGCTCAACCCCAAGTCCCCAATTTCTTAAATTGTAACGTAAATACACAGTAAAATATGTACCTACACATAAGTATTTGGTTGACCCACGAGAAATAGCCACTTTTATAGGTTAAAAAAAAAGAGTCAAAATCAGCAGTTTCACATAGTTCAACCTAACAACAAATCTTTAGATTAGAATGAAAATTGCCTCCTTGATCACAAACCAAATGGTTAATACATAGTTGTTTTGTATACAGAGAGCTCTTTTCCACAGTAATCTCTTGTTCACTTTGCTTCCTTCCCTACAAATTTCCCCAACCCTTCCCCAACTTTTCTGGAACCCATCTGTACAATACTAGGGGGAAAACAGGGCTAAATAAAAGGTACTGTGACAAAGTGTTCAGGACAAGCACACAATGCCAGAGACATCAGCTCACAGTCTGACCTGCTCAGTGGGATACTAGCAATGGTGGAGATGCACATCCCCTTTAGGGACACTCAGCAGCTTTGCAAAGAATCTGCAGGTGATTCTGAGGTTTGCCAATTATAGGAATGTTAATTCAAGGTTTTTCCTATCCGTAGTTTTAAAATGCTGTACTGAGTTTTGGGAGATAAATATAACTTTTTCCCCCCATATCAACATGGGTTGGAAAAATAAAAATGTATTGAGTCATACATTGTATGAAGTTTGGTTATTAAAAAAACAAGGGAAGTTCTACTGGGAAAAGGCAGGTATTCTGCAGAATATGTCTATATTCAACTTCAATGCTGTGCTACTGGAAACTTTTGGTTATTAAGATTTTTTTTGAAGTTATTCATTCTGTCTTTCCCTAACTTGTAACTTAAAAGGGAAGTGTGTCACATTTCATAATATCTCCAAATGTTATACTCTTTAAAATGGTGATCTTTGGGTTGGGTCATTAGAAATCTTGGCACTGGTGGGTGGGGGAATATGAGGTTTGGAAACATAGCAGTGTTTGATCTCATTACTTTTCTGTGTAGTTACAATATGTACTTATGTAATATACACATATGTATGTATGCATATCTAACACAGACGTATTTAATTGCAAATCAGATTCAAGGAGGGCATGAGAAATCTGGGTTGCAAAACACTACTTTAAAACAAGAATATTTTTCTAACAGCAAAAGGTGCAAGTAGTACTTCTCAGTCCATTTATTTGTGAAATTCCTGATTCCATTTTTATCAGCCACTTGTTTCTTCCTGACAGCACCCTTCAGAGGAACATTTATTAAGCACTTGCTACTATGTGACAGACAAGTACTTTACATCTATTAACTCATTAAATCCTCAGAGCCCTATAAGGTAATTGTTATCTCTATTTTACATATGAAGAAAGGCCTCATAGTTGGTGTGGAGCAAGGACTATAACCAGGAATCCTCGCTTCAACACACAGTGCCACTTCCAGATTAGAAAACGGTCCTCTTCAGTCTGTCTCCACTTCTTTCCTGTTCCTTATCAGTACGCTTCCTTCTTAAAAGCAAATAAGCAGTGCTCAAATCCACCTGGCAGGCAGATTCAAGTGACTGCTCCTCTCTTTTCTCAGACCTATCCAGCAAAAGATCAGCAAGGAGAAGAGGGGGGTTGAAGGCAGCCAGGCTTATTTGCCCTACCTGGGCCTTAATTTCCCCACTGACAACTTGGGGGATTCCCAATATTAGATTTCAAAGCTAGGTACTCTGTATATATAGCTCTACAGTTTTTTTTTTGCGTGCACACATGCACACACACACAAACACACACACACAAACTTGCATACATACATTAACACAAAAAATTCAATAGTTACCAAAGGATACAAATTACAATAAAAAGTCTCCCTACTCTCTGGGAGCAAATAGTGTTAATACTTTGTTTATAATTCCAGTTAGCACTGTAACTTTACACTTCTATTTTTTTTTTATTGGGGAACAGTGTATTTTTCCAGAACCCATCAGCTCCAAGTCGTTATTTCAATCTAGTTGTGGAGGGTGCAGCTCCATGGCCCACGTGGGGATCGAACCAGCAACCTTGGCGTTATAAGCACTGTGCTCTAACCAACTGAGCTAACCGGCGGCCCCTACACTTCTTTTTTTTTATTTATCGACTTAGACTACATTTATCATCTTTTGAGTCCCAATAATGGATGATGAGGAGCATACTCATCTTTGCATTAATCTTTCCTTCCCTTGTCACCTCCCCATTTTTGTTATATTATTTTTCTACTGTCAAGGTTAACAGTTTGCACTCTATATTTGTATATGCTTTGTCTTAAGCAGATTCTAAAGTCTATAAACTAATGAACAGCATTTTTGATATTAAAATGTACATGTATCTTGCTAGTGAACCAAGCATGGAGGGACTATAAAAAGGGAAATATTCCACGTCTACAGAGCTACTAATCTAACAGACCAAAAAAATGAGCCAAAGAATCAAACAAGCATCTAGTAACATTTACTGAGCACTTAATACTGTGCTAAGCACTTTACACACATCACCTTATTTAATCCTCAAAACAAACACATAAGGAATTATTAGCCCAACTTTGCAAACAGAAACTAAGGCTAAAGTTATATTACTTGGTTGGCTAGCATGGGGCAGAGCAGGAATTCAGGTTATGGCTCCAGGGCCTGAACTCTTCACCATTATACTGCTTGCTCATACTAACTCTTCTTTCACTTTCCTTTTCAAAGCAATGTCTAATTATTGCCCTGAATAGCAAATGAAGTATTTTATTCAACAAGGCAGAGCTTAAAATCATTCTGTCTAGATATTAAACTTGTTGTGAACTACATGTTCTATTCCAAATCTTTTAAACTATTAAAATGACACTATTTTCATCTTTTCTATTCACCAAATCTGAGAAGTATTAAAGACCATGACTTATGGCTGAACGTCACAAGATAGTATACAAAAGCACAGCGTAGTCTAAGTGACTTTTCCTGTTTACATATTAAAAAACTACAAACAGAACATTCAAAGCAGTAGTCCAATATAGAAAAAATATTTTAAACTCTGAAATGAAACGTTAAAAAATGAAAATTCTTTGAGGATAACAGTTCTCTCTCTATTCTACCTTTGATATTTTTCAATTGGGGATGAGTTAAAAGGGTTACTGAATTACTCAGTATGATACTGTTTCTTGATACATTATACAGAGTAGGTAGCCATATAATAGACTGGTTTCACTCCAAGTTATCTTTAACTCCATTTCTACAATTTACAGGTGAAGAGAATCTCATTTATAGACCAACTTTCTCCTTATGATTTCCAAGCACAGATGATTATATTACTGTCCTCGCCAAGGCACTGAGGTGCTAAACTCACTCAATGAAACCATCATGGGCCAGAGGTAAATTACGTTCTCCTGATACTAAATTCTCTATGGCAAGAGATTAAGGGTCCACATTATAAGTATAACTTAAACCCCGACACCATTTTGATCCAACAAAATATACTGTTATACTGTTAAAATATATTAAATAACTTATAACTAGTTTAGGGTTTATTTCCACTATAGCTGTTCTTCAGTAAACAGCCAGTTCACCATACCTCATCTACAATTAAGGACCAGCTTTTAAACTATTCAAACACATATAGGTTAAAGGGGACGTTAGTTTCTAGAGCAGCCTAGAATTGTAAGTCACTCATTCTATCTACCAGTTTTCCAAATATGTCCTGAACTCTGTAGATACTTGTAATTTGGCATTTTTCTTTTTCTTTTTACCCGTTTAAGTTATCTGTCATTGCCTTTAAGATGCGAGCTTCAGCTTAGGAGGGTGTGACATCTTTGCACCCCTTGGACCAGCACATAGAGGGCTGAGTATCTGGCACGTAGAGGGCTCTGAATGCATGTGTGGAATTAACCATAGGACAAGTATGTCCATGTTGCACAGGAAAACCGAGAGGGGACGTTTTAACTGGGGATTAAGAAACCAATTACCCTTTAGAAAAATACAGACGTCGAGTACACCGAGGCCAAAATGTAACAAGTAAAGGGGGCGTCAGAAAGCCGAAGTCAGGCATTACAGTCCTTCCTTCCTTAACTTTTTATTGTGTTCCAAGCGGTGCCACCTCTCTCCCCGAAGAGCTCGAGGCCTTCAGCCTTCGGGTCCACGCTTCCTGCCTCCAGACTGGGGTGAGACCACCACGGAACTCAACCCGGACTCGGCCCTTCTCCCGTTCCAACTCCGGCCATGCTTCAGCCCCGGACTAAACTCCAGGCCGTATCATGACAGAGCAATTCGAGTGGACCAAAGGCGGACTCGGTTCACTCACCTACTTGGTAGAGCCGACCCTCGGGAGAGAAAATGGTAATGTGGCGGTCAAAACCAGCGCTGGAACCACGGGACATGTTGACGCGCCCACTACTTCAAACACGCTCTCTGGGCCCCGCAGCTCCCGCACCAGTACAACCCCCCCGGAAGTTGCAGCGACTGCTTCCGGTGCACAGGCCGGCTTCATCCGCTCTTGCGCGCCGAACTCACGACTCTAGCGTCAGTTCGTAGAGTCGGCACGTAGAGCTCCGAGGCCCCGCCCTTGGTGGGGGGTGGGGTGGAGAGAGCGGACGCTAGGTCTTCGGTGTGCGCTTGCGTCAGCCTCACGTCTGCTCGGTTTCAAGTTACCAGGTGAAACTCGGGTTGTGGCGCTTTAGAGATGTCATCCGGAGAATGAATTGACTCTAGCAAGAACGAAAAAACTTGATGCAGGCCCAGAGTAGTGATTTGCCTATCAGTATGACCTAAATGGATCGTGTATTTCACAAGTCTCTCGTTAGTTCTGTATATCCAGCCTGTATCTAAATTGCAGGCGTCCTTCCTAATCTCTTGACCCACCCACTTTCCTTCCTAAGGAAAGGAGAAAAGATTGCAGCCGCTACGGTGCAGCCGTTAATTTTAGGTACAGAAGGGAGCGGGTTCTGGTAGCCAGCACAGGAAAGCAAAAATTTTTTCTGCCCAGGTAAGATCTTCCTTGGGCCAGCAGCATCGACAATTTTGTTTTAAAAGTGGAACTGAGTTGAGATGCAGGTGTAGTGGAAGAATTATGAGGTTAAGTAGCTTTGATTGATAATGAACAAGAACAGAAGGGATGGACCTCCTAGCAGGGTGGTATTGGGTGGACTAATTAGAGTAATTCCAAGCAGGCGAGGTAGCTCCGGGTGTTTTTTCAAACTGTAAAACTGCCTATTTTGATTTTACCCCAAGCCATACTTCTGTTTAATGAATATAAAGTGCAAAACATGATGTTAGGCTGGTATGCATCCCACCCCCAAAAGCTTGTGCACCTGGAAGGCCAGATATACCAAGGTTTCTGGCACTTGAATGCTTGCTCTAAGTAATACTTAAGTAGAGATTCTTACCACTTTAATGTATTTTCTCCTAAACTCACTTTCAATTTAAAAGAAAAAAATTTGTGAGAACCTCTTAAGGAGTTTCTTAAGGAAGCTCCAGTTTCTTAAGAGAGTGTTTTTTTAAAAAATAAACTTCTATTGTATTAACCTGGAAAAAAAATTTCAAAACTGAAACGTCAATGACTGAGAAATACTAAGTGCAAACAGCATCTCTTCGCACAGGGTACTTTCCAGCTCTGGCTACTCCCTAAGTGTACTGATAAAAGTTGTCCCTTGCTCTGGTTCAGGTACCTACACTCAGGATCTTTTCCTCCTGACCTTTTGAGTACTTTTTTTTCTAAGACTCTGAGCTTTGTGTACTCTAATTCCTACAGTTTGCGTGAACAGTCATAGATAAAAAGTTTTCTATGAGACTGCTGGGACGGTGAACTCATTTTGTCCCACAGCCTCAACAGCCCTCTCTATGCTGATGTCTCCCAAACCTAGGTCTCTAGCTGGACCCTTCAGGTGCTGAGTCCTCTCTAATTGCCTATGGGATATTTTTCACATTAAGACACATGGTACTTCAAAACCCAACATGTTTAAAACAGAGCTCCTTATCTCTTCCCTCTCAAGCCAGTTCTGCCCCTCATACTATATTTTCCAAGTCCTTGGAGCCAAAGCCTTTACAGCAGTATTCAATTCCCCCAAACTTCCTATTCTGTCCCTATATAGTAATCCTGATCCTTCTTATTCTGCTCTCCTTTTTTCTGTTACATAATTCATAATTTTGTTCACTGTTTATTGCCCTCCTCCCCCAATCTAAGCTCTACGAGGGCAAGAATCTTTGTTTTGTTTAGTAGTATAGCTCAGGCAACTTAAAAAATACCTAGCACCTATTAAGTGCTCAATAAATATTAGTTGAATGAATGGATCTCTTATAGCACAGGGGTTAGGAGTGCATCCTTTTCTATTTAAACCTGAATTTAAATCCCATTTGTGACAGTTACTAGATATGTGACCTTATACAGCCTCCCTAAATCTAGATTCCCTTAGCTGTTAAACTTGGATAAGATCCACTTTATGGGAGCTGCTGTGAGGATTAAATGAAAGAAGGCAAGGGAGGTACCTAGCACATAATAAATACTCGTTAAACAGTAGCTGTTACTGTCGCCTTCCTCTTTGGTCTACTACCAAATCCTTTGATTATTCCTTTGGAATGACTATCTGCTTTTCATTCCCATTGTCACTATCTAAATTTAGACCCTTTTAACAGATTGCCTGGTCTGGCACAGTAGTCTCTTCTTATTGACCCACATTCTTGAAATCATTTCTCTTGAGCAAGATCTCATTGGATTGCTTCTCTGTGTACATTTCTTTGGGCTACTGAATAAAACTGTCTTTAACTTAGTGTTCAGTTTTCTACAAGTTGATCTGTCCTATCTTTTCAGTCCTCTCTTCCAATTCATCGTCCTGTTTCTATTCTCCGGCTCCTCTCCACAGCACTGCCTGATCACTCACTCCTCAAGCTCATACCCCTTGTGCCTCCTGTACTATTCATTCCCACCTCCTCTTCTCAGAAGCTCAAATCCACCAATCGGTCTCTTTTCTCCTAAATGCCCAGTGCTTATAATTTGAATCTTTTATTAGCCTGAACCAAATGAAATGGCCAGTTTTATAGGTCAAAATGGTCCAATATTGGTAATTACATGGTTTAACTTAAAGAGTTGTGTGCCTGGGCTTCACCAAAGATTGGCAGGGCAGATGCTGGGTACTTTTCATCTCTGCATCCCCTAATAATCCCTGTCACGGAGCTTAGCTAATAAAAGTTCAATAAATGACTATTACATTGAACTAAAAACTGTAGAAAGGAACACATGAGAAATGTTTTCATAGCTGCAATCTGTTCCTTCTCATGAAGACATGGCTGCTGTAAAGCACCTCTGGGTATTCACTGCCATGAAGTTTTGGGATATTTTAAATCACACACATTGCAGGCTGTGAGAATGATTTCACACGTTAAACAGATCCCGATATCTTCTTGAGGTTGCATTTAAGCTGGGCCCTGAAAGATGCATAGGATATTGGATGCTATATACACTTTAATACTCTTAAGGATACTTTCTGGAAGGAATTGACCTCATTTTCAACACAAACACAAACTGAAAGCTAGAATTAGATGTGGCCACTGCCCTCTAATTCTAACATGTCTGTTTTGTTCCCCAGTGTATCCTCACTGCCAGACAGTGCCTAGCATGAAGTAAGCACTCACAGCATTCATTGAATATGCATACTCACTATTTGGGTTCTCTATTTTACATATATATATATATATATATATATATATATATATATATTTAAGAGATTTGTGAATAAATGAGAAATCCAGATTTCAAAAACCTGAAAGTTCAGAAATTTTATATTAGAATTTGAGATTCTCCCACCTAGGCAAATGCATTCCTCTGGGAAACCTTCCAGAAAGACAAACCCCTTGCCGACTCCATTGCTAAGGGAAATCCCCTAGAAGCCGACTTCATGAATATGTGCCATCAGGCGCCAAGCAGCAGCCAAACTACTTACCCAGATGGACTTCCCCTTGCGCTGGGGAGCTTTCACCAAAGTCTGGGTACAAATACTCCTGAAGCTTTAACAGAAGCCTGGGGGGGCAGACTTGCTGTGTCTGTGTGGAAAATTTGATCTTCCTCTCTGGGGCCACCAAATTAAGACTTTTTGAAATGACTTTCTGGTTTTTTGAAAAATTTCAGAGATGACTAGACATCTCGTGAATCTTGGAAAATCTCCTGGGGGCCTCCGTTTGGCAAGGCCTACATTCTCCCCCTGGGGGTGGAGGTAGGTGGAAGGTAGGGGTTACCCATAAGGCAAAGGTAAAGAATGGCAGCGTAGATTCCCAGTGACTGCAGACATGCTGAATCACATAGCGTTTAGAGGCAAGATAAAAATTTAACCCTTAGCGTAAGATGCTCTGCTGGCAGTTTCATTGAGCCAGGGAATATAAAAACCAAGCTTGTCTGTGTTTCCATGTGGTATTAGCAGGTGATGAAACACAATGCCCTGTGAGTTGGATATAAGCACTGGTAACAGAGTATCATAGGTGAGTTAGGATTCCCCAATGTTAAGAGGCCCCAAACGTTAACTGTGGCCAGGACAGAGCTAGGGATGCAGCAGCTCTAGGTGAACAGTACGAGGCAGGTAGAAAGAACCCTGTCCAGCTCCCTGGCCAGACTTTCAATTGGGTGCTTCCTCAGGTGACCGAGGGCAGGAGCCTGGCTCTTATTTGTATCTTTCCCTCTGTGTATCTTTCTAACACCAATCTCAGTCCTGTAGTTTTTCCTGTACCCCAGTAGCTGTGGTTAACTGCCTAGGAGTTGTCATTCTGGCTGCGTTTCCGGGAAGGGAAAAGGGTGATTTCTCTGTACTCCAGGTCTGTAATTTATAGGCAAAGGAAAGGGACAAATGGGGCACCAAATATGGGGTGGGGTGTGCTTCAGTGACTTACATGAGGCACTTGGTTATACTTATACACTAAAGCCTTTCAAAGCCCTTACCTGATTCCAATAAAGCAACACTCCCCATCCTCCTTGTCCATAACACCTAATATGGTTCTCTCACCCTCCAGTACCAACAGTGGGTACAATGTGGTGTCTATCAACACAGTAGTCACACAACTGTTATTTCCCTCTTTCTCCATCCTTTCCTTACCAAGCAATCTAATTCTGTGCCTGGATTATATCAGTCATCCCCAGTAATAATGATGCTGTCCTTTGATTTGAAAGGCAGTAAACTTGTATCAGCTCAACCCAAAGAAGATTTAACTAAAATTACCCCGGAACCCCTCTATGGAGCCAAAACCTTTCACTTTCAGTGCACCCTTGATTTTTAGCTGTAACAACTCAGTATTATCCTCTTACAGCTTTTGATGTTTCTCTTGTTTTCTCAACTCCCTCTTAAATGAAGATTCCCTCTTAAATACTTGACTGACCTTGTTTCTGGAAGCCATAGACTTTGAGAAACACTGAGAATTCTCATGGGTCTCCCCAGAATACTGGAAGAAGTAATGGAAGACCCCAGCTGGCTTGGGCTTAACCGTTGGTGGTTTTCAACATGTAACT